CACACTGTGGGCTGTCTCCCTGCTCTCTTGATGGTTTCTTTTGCTTTGCAGAAGCTCGTTAATTTGATGAGGTCCCACTTGTCTATCTTTATTTATTTATTTATTTATTTATTGTAGAGACGAGGTCTAGCCAACTTGCCCAGGTGGGTCTCGAACCCGCGGGCTCAGACAATCCATTTGCCTTGGCCTCCCACAGTGCTGGAATTACAGGCGGAGCCACCAAGCCCGGCCTATTTTATTTCTTAAGGTCTTGGCCTTTAGGGTTCTGGATAGGAATTGGTTACCAGTTCCAATTTCCATAAGGGTGTCTCCTGCGTTTTCTAAGATTTTTCTAGTTTGAGGTTTTACGTTTTTAATTCACAGACCCTTTAAGATGCTGATGAGAGCTATGGACCTTCTTCTCAGAAAAATGAACATATTTTCAGCATACAGAATGTTAGATGCTTTCCAGGAAGAGTCTTAGACCCTCCTAAACTCATCCATGTATACTCTAAGAGTCTATAAACTCCAGATTAAGAACTCTTGCACTAGCAAAGGAGGCACCTACTGTGTCAGATGCTTTTCAGACACTATCTCCTTTAAACAGCCCCATGAGTTACGGAATACCATTGTCTCTATTTTGTGGACGAAGAAGCTGATTTTCTTTTCTTTTCTTTTCTTTCTCCCTGCCTCCCTTCCTTCCAAGTTGGAATCTCACTCTGTCACCAGGGCTGGAGTGCAGCAGCAAGATATCACATCACGGCTCACCACAGCCTTGAACTCCTGGGTTCAGGAGATTGTTCCACCTCAGCCTCCCCAGCAGCTGGGACTGTGGGGCACATGCCACCATGTCCGACTAATTTTTTGATTGGTTGCAGAGACAACGTCTCTCGAAGCTGCCCAGACTGATCTTGAACCCCAGGGCTCTGGCAATCCTCTAGCCTCTGCCTCCCAAAGTGCTGGGATTACAGGTATGAGTCACTGCGCCTGACCATGTGCAGGTTTTTTTTTTTTTTTTTTTGAGTTGGAGTCTCACTCTGTCGCCCAGACTGGAGTGCAGTGGCCGCTCCTGGCCACCGCAGCCTCGACCTGCTGGGCTCCAGCGATCCTTCCGCCTCAGCCTTCCAAGTAGCTGGAACTACAGGCACACGCTACCACACCCGGCTAATTTTTTGATTTATTGTAGAGATGAGGTCTCGTCAAGTTGCCCAGGCGGGTCTCGAGCCCGTGGACTCAGGCAATCCACTCACCTCAGTCTCCCAAAGGCGCGGGATTACAGGCTGAGCCACCGAGCCTGGCTCGTGTGCAGGTTTTTATGTGGACATAAATCTTCAACTTCTTTGGGTAAATACTAAACAGCATGATTGCTAGAAGAGTATGTTTAGTTTTGTAAGAAACTGCCAAACTGTTTTCCAAAGTGGCTGTACCATTTTACATTCCCACCAACAATGAATGAGACTTCCTGTTGCTCCACATCCTTGCCAGCATTTGGTGTTATCAGTGTTCTGGATTTGGGCTATTCTAATGAGTGTCGCTGAAGCATTTTAACCCACAGAAAGTTAGCAAGAGGTTAATTCCAGTCAGAGAGTAAATGCATATGATGTATCCAGTGTGGCGAGGATTGATGGTTGGAGCTTAGACTTAATTCTAAAGGCAATAAGCAGCTTTTGATGACTTTTAAGTTGGAGGATACCCTCTGTAGTGGGTTGAAAGTGACCTCCATGCTGGGCGCGTTGGCACACACTTTAATCCCAACACTTTGGAAGGCTGAGGTGAGAGGATTGCCTGAGCCCAGGGTTTGAGACCATCCTAGGCAACTTGGTGAGACCTTGTCTCTAAAATAAATGAATGAATGAATGAATAAGTAAATAACTGAATAAAATTAGCTGGGCGTGGTGGTGCACACCTGTGATTCCAGTTACTTGGAAGGCTGAGGCAGAAGGATCACCTGAGCCCAGCAGGCCAAGGCTGTAGTGCCCTTGAGCATGCCATGCACTCCACCCTGGGTGACAGAGTGAGACTCCTATTTAAAAAAAAAGAAAAGAAAAAATAGAAAGTGATCTCCAAAAAGATATGTCCACTCAGAACCTGTGAATGTGACCTTCTTAGACAAAAAGCTGTTAGCAGTTGTAATTAAGGGTAAGGCTCTCCAGGTAAGAACATCCTGGCTTAGGGTGGGCTCTAAATCCAATGACAAGTGTCCCCATAAGAGGAGAGAAGAATTGACTGAGTACAGTGGCTCACGTCTGTGATCCCAGAGCTTTGGGAAGCTGAGACTGAGGTGGGAGGATGTCTTGAGGCCCAAGGTTCGAGACCAGTCTGAGAAACATAATGAGACCTGTCATTACAAAAAGTAGAAAAATTAACTGAGCATGGTAGTACACACCTGTAGTCCTGGGTACTTGAGAGGCTGAAGTGGGAGGATTGTTGAGCCCAGGAGTTCGAGGCTGCAGTGAGGCATGATTGCACTACTGTACTCCAGCCTGGGCGACAGAGAGAGACCCTGTCTCAAAAAAAGAAGAGAAGGGTAAAGGAAATGCAGAGGAGAAGAAGTAATGTGACGGTGATTGCAGAGATTGGAGTGATGTGTTTACAGGCCAAGGAATGCCAAGGATTGACAGCAGCCACCAGAAGCTGTAAGAGAGAGGCATGGAACAAATTCTTCCTCAAAGACTCCAAAAGAAGCGAACTCTGGTGACACTTTGGTTTCAGACTTCTAGACTCCAGAAGAAAATATATTTCTGTTGTTTTAAGCCACCCTGTTTGTGGGTAAATTATTATGGCAACCCTAGAAAACTAATACATGCTAGGCCATATAGCCCAGTCTTCCTGAGACTCCCAGTCAAGTGCTCTTTTCCTTTGCTTGATGTCCTACCCCTTTTCCATCTGGTAAAATTACACGTATTCTTTAAGATTCTGCTGAAATTGCACCTCTTTGGCACAGCCTTCCCTGAATTACCCTCCCTGCTACATCTTTTTTTTTTTTTTTTTTTGAGTTGGAGTCTCACTGTCGCCCAGACTGGAGTGCAGTAGCCGCTTCCAGCCACCGCAGCCTCAACCTGCTGGGCTCCAGTGATCCTCCCGCCTCAGCCTGCCAAGTAGCCGGAATTACAGGCATGCGCTACCACGCCCGGCTGATTTTTTGATTTATTGTAGAGATGAGGTCTCACCTGCCCAGGCGGGTCTCGAACCCGTGGGCTCAGGCAATCCACTCACCTCAGCCTCCCAAAGGCGTGGGATTACAGGCTGAGCCACCGAGCCCGGCTTCCCCGCTACATCTTGAGGAATTTAGTTGCTTCCTCTTCTGTGACCACATGTCATGTCTATGCTATAGAACTTATGACACTATATAGTATTATGTATTTATGTCTTCCCCACTTTTCTATGAGCTTCTAGAAGGATGAGGATGTCTTATTTGTCTGTATATTCTCAGAATATAAGCACAGGCCTGGCACATATCAAAAACTCAATAAATGTTTGCCGAATAAACAGTTTCTGTGAATAATTTCTCCAACCAGCTCTGTGTTTTGGGAAAGGTAAATCTGGCAACAGAATGAAGAATTGATTAGAGAGTAGAGGGCCCTTAGGAAGGGAGACCAGTTAGTGAGTTCTAGTAATAATCATGACTAAAGGTAATGAAAGGCTGATTTAGTAGAGTGGCTGTGGTAATATAAAGGAGAAAACTGCTGGGAGAAACAGCACAGAAGCAAAGCTGATTGTATTCTCAGAGTGAGAGAGATGGAGGAGTTGAAGATGTTTCTAAGGTTTCAAGTCTGGGTGACTGAGAGGGTGGTTATATCATTAACTGAGATAGAAAAGGCAGGAAGAGAAGCAGATTTTAGGGAAGATAGGGAGTTTGAAACTATATTGTTGTTCCTCCACTTCCAGATTCTTTTTCTTTTTTTTTTTTTAGTTGGAGTCTCACTCAGTCGCCCAGACTGGAGTGCAGTGGCCTCTCCCGCCCGCCGCAGCCTCAACCTGCTGGGCTCCGGCGATCCTTCCGCCTCAGCCTTCCAGTAGCTGGAACTACAGGTGCGCGCTACCACGCCTGGCTAATTTTTTTGATTTATTGTAGAGATGAGGTCTCACCTGCCCAGGCGAGTCTCGAACCCGCGGGCTCAGGCAATCCACTCACCTCAGCCTCCCAAAGCGCTGGGATTACAGGCTGAGCCACTGAGTCCGGCTCCAGACTCTTTTTCTAAGCCAGACCTCCTCATTAGTTTCAACAGAGACCCAGCTCAGGCAGCAGCTAAGAGTGGGTATTCTGGTTCAGATTAGGTGAGGAAAGATAGCTGTATATGTGCCCACAGGAGCCAAGACAGTGTTTTCCATCCTCCCAAGACAATAGAGCTTTGACAGAGATTTAAGAGTGACTGAGCCAAGGAAGGAGTATAGCATAGGATGTAGGTGGTGGTGGTGGAGGTTCAGACCCTCCACTATATAAGACAATGACTTAGAGAAGATGATTTGAAAATGGTAAAAGTGGTGAACAGATCCTTCCCAGAATCTAGGTGGTCTGAGGATTCTTGAGTCTGTGACACATTTATACCCAGCCTTAGTCTTTACTTACTACCTTATAGCAGTACCTGATCTCCTAGAGGACTTAGACTGTGTCACAGTATACATTTGCCCCACCCTCTGTAAAGCCCTGGTTTCTAAGGTTCTTTCCACCGGAAGCTGTGACAGAAGGAAATGTGTGGGTGGGGAGGGGTAGTGGGTGAGGGGCCCAGGTTCCTGACACAGACTACACCCAGGGAACGAAGAGCAAGCGCCATGTTGAAGCCATCTTTACCACTCAGATCCCTCTTATTCCTGCAGCTGCCTCTGCTAGGGGTGGGGCTGAACACAACGGTTCTCACACCCAGTGGGAATGAAGACACCACAGCTGGTGGGAAATCTGGGACTGAAGGGGGTTGGTGAAAAGGGAGGCTGTGGGAAGGGGCCGTACAGAAATCTGGAAACTGCCACTGGCCGTTACAACCATCTGGTCAGAATTGAAGAGTGGGAAGGGAAGTGTTCTCTGCCTTGTGCTACTCCTTCTTCTGATAATCATTTCTTCTCTTTCCCTTCACCACTTCATTTTCCCCTCAACCTAGATATCTTCCTGACCTCTATGCCACCTGGGTACCACAGTAATTCTGCCCTGCCCCTCCCAGAGGTTCAGTGTTTTGTGTTCAATGTGGAGTACATGAATTGCACTTGGAACAGCAGCTCTGAGCCTCACCCTACCAACCTGACTCTGCGTTATTGGTATGACAAGGGAAGAGGGGGTAGCACATGGGAGGAAGAAGAAGTGGGCTGGATCAGAGACCAAGAAAGAGGGTAGCCAGTCTCTCAGGTGCCCCACTATTTTTTTCTTTTTTTGAATTGGAGTCTCACTTCGTCGCCCAGACTGGAGTGCAGAGGCCACTCCCGGCCACCGCAGCCTCTACCTGCTGGGGTCCGGCAATCCTTCCGCCTCAGCCTTCCAAGTAGCTGGAACTACAGGCACACACTACCACACCCGGCTAGTTTTTTATTTATTGTAGAGATGAGGTCTCGCCAAGTTGCCCGGGCGGGTCTCAAACCTATGGACTCAGGCAACCCACTCGTCTCGGCCTCCCAAAGCGCTGGGATTATAGGCTGAGCCACCGAGCCCGGCCTACCCCACTATTTTTTTATGGGGTGAGTCATTAGTCAGTTCAGGGGAGATGAGGCTGGGCTGAGAATATCTGCAGTACATGAATTGGCCTCACTGTTCCTCTTTCTTCCAACACTTCTCCTTTAGGTACAGGAAATCTGATAATGATACAGTCCAGGAGTGTGGCCATTATCTATTCTCCGGAGAGATCACTTCTGGCTGTCAGCTGCAAAAAAGGGAGATCCATCTCTACCAAACTTTTGTTGTCCAGCTCCAGGACCCACGGGAACCTAGGAGACAGGCCAACTGGACGCTAAGACTGCAGGATCTGGGTAATTTGGAAAGAACGGGTCAAGAGCCCAGGGATATCGTGGGACATTGGAGCCTATGGAGTGGTGTTCTTTCACCTTAAGGGTACATAGGCAGAAACGAGGAGGTAGGGGATTGGGATGGGAAAAGGAGAGGGATAAGGGGCACTACCTGCAGGATCCTGACTTGTCTAGGTCAGGGGAATGACCACACACATACACATGTCTCCAGTGATTCCCTGGGCGCCGGAAAATCTAACACTTCATGACCTGAATGAATCCCAGCTAGAACTGAGTTGGAGCAACAGATACACGGACCAATGTTTGCAGCATCTTGTGCAGTACCGGAGTGACCGGGACCGCAGTTGGACTGTGAGTGACTGGGAATGTGTAGCTGCTAAGGCCAAGCAAATGGGGATAAAGGACTCAATCAGCCAGACAGGAGGACCTAATACCCACCTCCACTCTCTGTCTCTCAGTTCTTCTACTCACTCCTCACCCTCCTCCAATGCCTTTCCTGTCATCACAAATGAGTTTTATTAAAAATTCTCTACCCATCCTTTTCCTGATACCAGATAGAAAAGTAAACAAAAGGAAGCCATTAAGGGGATATAAAGACATTAGATTCAAGTCAGTGAAAGAAGCAGTGTGGCTTGAGTAGTCAAGAGAGACGGGAAGAACTGGGAAGAACCAGAGATGACACTGTTTGTGTGTGTGTGTGTGTGTGTGTGTGTGTGTGTGTGTGTGTGTGTGTGTATGTGTCCATGCATGCACACGCAGGAGTAGGTTTTAATTCCCCCTTCTTTTATAGACACACATCTTTCTTTCACTCTCTTTCTCTCCAAGGAACAATCAGTGTCTCACGGACGTAGCTTCACCCTGCCAAGTGTGGATGGGCAGAAACTCTACACATTCCGTGTTCGTAGCCGCTTTAACCCATTCTGTGGAAGTGCTCAATATTGGAGTGAATGGAGCCACCCAGTCCACTGGGGGAGTAATACATCAAAGGGTAAAATGGACCCACATGATACCAATCCATGAACCCAACGCCCCAACCTTTTAACACCCCTGTCTTTTGCTCCACCTCTCTATCACTAAGCCCCCAAATTTGGTGTCCCATCTCCCCTCACCGTTCAACTCCAACCTCTAGAAAGCAGGGCTTTTCTGTACAGTGTTGTGTTGGTGTGTTGTTAGAGTAGGGGAGTAGATTGAAAAGGAGGCTGAGAGGGGCTCAAGGGGGTTATAGAATGTGTAGGATTTCCCTACAGCATTCCTAGAGAGCCTGCGTGGTGAAGATGGCTTTGGAAACAGACAGACCTAGGCTCTGCCACATACTACCTCTTTTGCCTTGGGAATATCAATAACCTCTTCAATTCAGTTTCCTCATCCATAAAATGGAGATAATTGTTCCTGCTTCTCAGGAGCTGTTGTGAGGATTAAGTAGAGGGAATGTCTTTAGCACAGTGCCTGGCACCAAGTTGGGGCACCACAAATGTAAGGTCTACTCTGTTTTTATTTATTTATTTATTCATTTATGTATTTATGTATGTATGTATGTATTTATTTATAGAGAATCCTTTGTTGTTTGCACTGGAAGCTGTGCTTATCCCCCTTGGCTCCATAGGATTGATTATTAGCCTCATCTGTGTGTATTTCTGGCTGGAACGGTGAGATTTTGGGAAGCCCAGAAGACTGAGGTGAGGGTGACTGGGAATAGTAGAGGAGGTTTATTGCAGGGAATCGAGGAGTAGAGGGTGAGACAGTAAGGATTACCCAAGAGGGCATGGTGATAGAAGGAAGTCACAGGCACAGAGAACATGGAATCACTTCATTCCATATAGGACAGCTGGGAGAAGGATACTGAGAGCTTTAACCTATGTGCTCCTGCTCCTTCCTTCTCTCCTATCAGGGTGATGCCCCGAATTCCCACTCTCAAGAACCTAGAGGATCTTGTTACTGAATACCACGGGAACTTTTCGGTGAGAACACGGTCATAAGCATGCTGCTGTCTGTCAACTGTCAACTGGCTGCCAGCAAGAAGGACAGAGTTGGGGGGGCAAGGAGAGGGGAAAGGGGACCCGTACTGTCAGGATGTGGCCAACCAAATGGGGGATGGGCTAGACAGAGAGAGACACACAGAAAAGTGGCTTATAGATTGGGTGAGGCAGATGGAAACAGTGGTATTTGGGGCTCAGGTGTCTCTGTGTGTTCCTTCTGTAATCACAGTGGTTGCAGACATTGTGAGAGCTCCTTTGGCATGGAGCCTGGGTCTTTTACTTTCTGCCCATAATTGACCCCTGACCTGGACATATCTGTCTTTAGGCCTGGAGTGGTGTGTCTAAGGGATTGGCGGAGAGTCTGCAGCCAGACTACAGTGAACGACTCTGCCTCGTCAGTGAGATTCCCCCCAAAGGAGGGGCCCTCGGTGAGGGGCCTGGGGGTTCTCCCTGCAATCAACATAGCCCCTACTGGGCCCCTCCATGTTATACCCTGAAGCCTGAAAATTGAGCCCTGATCATCTGACAGAAGAACCCCAAGGTCCTGTAGCCCTAAGTCTTACTGAGTCCCCTTCATCCAACCAGTCTGGGTCGGATGCTCACCTCGCCCTCCTGTGGTTGATTTTGAATTTTGTGCCCCCATGGAACTGCCCCTTCATTTGTTATTCTCTACTTGAGAATTGCCCCCTTGCTCTGTACATGTTTCTCATCTTCCCCAACCCAGCCCTTCCTTTTCGCAGGATTCTCCTTCCCTCCCTCCCTCCCTCCACCCTTCAATTATTCCTGAATCAATGAGAAATAAAATTTCTATTGACAATCATCAAAAATGTCTGTTATGGGAATGGGGAGTAGGGGAAACACAGGGTACAACGAGGGAGGCATGGTGCCAAAGGTAGGAAAAAAGGAGTAGTAGACTCATGCTGTGGAAGCAGTTAACTAGAAAAAAAGTACCGTTCTCGAAACTTTTCTCCAGGTGTCCAGCACTCATTTCAGGGTCCAGTTTAGAGTTAGATTTGCCACACTGCCCGTATTCCCAATTAATCTTTTACAGGTCTCACCCAAGTTCTTCTCTCCTTATCCTTACTCTACTTTTTTTTTTTTTTGAGTTGGAGTCTCACTCTGTCGCCCAGACTGGAGTGCAGCGGCACACTCCCAGCCACCGCAGCCTTGACTTGCTGGGCTCCGGCGATCCTTCTGCTTCAGTCTTCCCAGTAACCAGAACTACAGGCGCACGCTACCACGCCCGGCTAATTTTTGATTTATTGTAGAGATGAGGTCTTGCCGAGTTGCCCAGGCGGGTCTCGAGCCCGTGGGCTCAGGCAATCCACTCACCTCGACCTCCCAAAGTGCTGGTATTATAGACTGAGCCACCGAGCCCGGCCTTACTCTACTTTTTTGCCACACATACCACTTCTGACCTCATAATCACTCAACTGCAACCTCAGGCCCCACCCCTAGGGGTGTTGGTTATCCACAACTGCCCATAGCTCTCTCTCCTGCCTGCCCAGTCTGGGCCTCCTCAGCCTATGAGATCCATCCGCCTCTCCAGGCCCCCAACCCCATGGGCCTACTTGGTCCTCCAAGGCCTGTAGAATACTCTCCTTCCACATGACTCTTCAGGGTACCCTCTGAAGAGTGAGGCAATCTTGAGAGCATGTTCATCTTCATCAAACATGGAGGTGAGGGGCAGCACAGAACTGGAATCTGTGTGTGGGGGTGGGGAGATTTGAGGACTGTAGAGATTACAGAAATGGTATAACTGGAAAAGGGACCCGCATGTCCCATCCCATCTCTTCTCAGATAATCAGCAGTTTCTGGTCAGTACCAATTGCTCTGTCCTCCTGTTGCTGCATTACATCCGCAGTAAATTAAGGTTGTTTAAAACAGGTGAGGAGCTTGGGGGGGACTTGGCCCAGGCTCAGAAGTAGTAGGGTCATCTCTAGGCCCCATACCCTCCTCCTGGCAAGAAGGGAGTTTCTTGTATTTCTACAGCTTCCTTCCACCCATTCTGTGTAGTATCACTGGCTCCTTTTGTTCCCACTCTCTTTCCTGAGCTACCCAAATTACCCTGTGGCCTCCCTCCAGACACTATCGATTTATGTGATGAAAAGGGGACAATGAAGTTGTTTTTCCTGATGAAGACCCCTGGAGACTATGCCAGCAAATTCCTTACACCTCGAAGTACCTACTACGTTTGTAGGGTGGACCGTGGGGCACCAGGTAGAGTCTTGGGAGCATTCCCCAGAGATAGAGCAAGGCCCTTGAGATGGATTGTGAATCTTTTCTTTAAAATAGGACACCTTCGGCCGAGCACAGTGGCTCATGCCTATAATACCAGCACTTTGGGAGGCCGAGGTGTGAGGATTCCCTGAGCCCATGAGTTCGAGACCAGCCTGGGCAACTTGGCGAGACCTCATCTCTACAATAAACCAAAAAATTAGCCGGGTGTGGTTGCATGTGCCTGTAGTTCCAGCTACTTGGAAGGCTGAGGTGGAAGGATCACCTCAGCCCAGTAGGTTGAGGCTGCAGTGGCCATGAGTGTGCCACTGCATTCCAGCCTGGATGACAGAGTGATTCCAACTCAGAAAGAAAACCAAACCAAAACAAAACAAAACAGGGTACCCTCAACCAGATCCGAATTGACCATCTCTAATCATCCTAAGAATGGGCACTGCCTCTATAACAATAGGTAACACACATGTCCCCCCACTTCATCCTAGTCTTATAACATCCTAGTCTTCATAATTCTCCCTTAGGTCCATACCTAAGGGGAGGAAATAAGGCACAACAGCTGAAGGTAGTATTTTGTGTAGAAATCTTGGGCTTCAGAGGGGTGGAGACTGGGTGACATGGGCTGGAGATAGCATACTGCTATGTTCACAGGAACCAGAATTGAGAATTCCTACAGAGCTTTTGTGCCTCTCCTGAAGCATCCAGAGCCCGAGCTAATTGGTAAGGAGCATGATGTGGGAGGAAAGACCATGGAGGGTACTGTACATAGCTGTATGATGGAGAATATAGGATGGGACTACTGTGATACAGTAGGTAGAATGAAAGGAGCCTAGGAAAAGGGGACTAGGGTCCAGGTCCATGTTAGGAGGAATGTTTAGCTCAAACCAGGTGGAATGTGCATGTGTTAACCCCTCCCCACTCCCATTTCTTGGCTATCTTCTCTGTATACCTCCCTATCACCACCTCATTATTTCCATCTTAGGCCAGGATGCTTCAGTTAATCATTTGAATAATGGGAGGAGTGCCAGGATGGTTGAGGTCTCTAGTCCTCAGAGGTACAGGTGCCTTTTCCTTGTTCCTAGATGCACTGCGCACACAATGTGATCTCCTGGAGAGGAGCCGAGTGAAGTTGCTTAGAATCCAAGAAGCTAAGAAGGTCGTTCCAGTTGAATCCTCGGTGACCCTCCAAGTAAGACTCCCCAAATGTGATCTGCCCCAGCAACCCCCTCTCCCCACCAACCAACTGAATGTCCCTCCACTCTTGGCCCTCTGAGATGAATGTCTTTTCCCAATCCAACATCTAGGCTTTATACCTGCCTCCAACCTGTTTTGCCCTTCCTTTGGCCCTATATTGTAGAAACCTTCCCTGCAGAGGCCTCTTTGTTTATCTACTTACCCTCTCTTTCTAGTTCAAATCATCAGGAAGATCGGAGGAAGAGGGGCCTACTCGCAGGGGTCCGCTCTTTAAGACCAGAGCAGACTTTCTCAGTAGGAGGGATAGACATCGCTAACTCAGTAAAGTGACCAAGTGAGAGCAGTAATACTAGGTATGAAATTATTAAAATTTAATGTGAGATTTCCTTTTCTAGAAAGACTCCTCCCAATATATGCATTGAGGATTAAGTGTGCCATAGGCATGGTGGAGGCTGAGGGTGATGGGAGCAGCAGGAGAGGGCTGGGTGAGCACATGGGTGGGGGTGAGGAAAGACTGTGAAGTCTAGTACAATGAGCCTTTGAGGGACAGAGTAGGGAGTGGGGTCTTCTCAAACCAGACTACCTCCCCTTGGGAGTCCTATGTCTGCCTGCCTATTCCTGCTGGGGTTAGGTGTCTCTCCCCTACCACACTCCGACACAAATTCCCCCACCCCCCACCCCTCTGCTTCTGGGCAGTTCCTGGAGCCTGCCTGCCTGCCCATCTGCCCTTTACCTTTCTCCCTCCCTCTCCCTTATCCGAGGGGCATAGCAAGGCAGCAGAAACCAGAGCTAGTTATAGGCATTTATTGAATGTATTCATTTATTGATTTGACACACTTCCCCACTCCAATCTAGCACATGATACAATCTGGGTAGGCCAGGCGCTGACACAGGAAATGATGGGAACCCACAGCAGGGTGGGGGAGGGGACAATGCAAAGGGCACCGGGGGGAGGGGCTGCTTTGGGGGCTGGGGTGGAAAAGGAGCCCCAGATGGCCTTCCTGGCAGGTGTTAGCAAACCCGATCCACATTCCCCCCCATCCCTGCTCATTTCCCAGACCCTCAGCCAAGCTCCCCAGCTCCCCCTTCCCTGTTCCTCCCCTCCCCCCGCTGCCACCACACATACTTCCACATAACCCCTGTAGTCTGGGAAGGGGAAGAAGGGCAGGGACAGCTGTCAGGGGCCTTGAACAGGGAGGTCTCTGTACCTAACTTTACCACCCTAAATCCTTCCCTCCTTCTTTCCCCTCCCACCCCCTTCCCAGGCCCCAAGCTAATTTCAGGCCTTCAGTGCACTCTCCCACCATAGCACTAGCCCACGCTGGGTCAAAGGAGAATGTGGCTGCACCCCAACACCACACACTCCCAGGCACAAGTTGAAAGAAATGAGGGGACCAAGGCTTAGCTTTTTCCTTAGGGAAACTTCAACCTATTTACACATAGACCATTTTCTAGACCTAGTCCAAATGGGAGCCCTTCCCCTTGTTCACTGTTACTCCTCACCTCTCCCCAACTGCCCCATGTCTCTCCTAGTATTGACTGTAGTGTTTGTACCCTGTCACTTTGACAAAGCCTTCAGAAAGAAAAACACATTTTCCCCATCACTAGCACCTTGCCGCTGGTAAAAAAAATCTCTATATTTGTGTTTATATTTCTTTAAAAGTATATAAAAAGCCTTTCTGTTATCTGCAGCCTTCCAAGGATGATTTGGCCTGGCCAGCCACTCCACCGCTCAGACGTTGGCCCTCCCAGGTCCCCTATTCCCCCCACCCACCCCACATCACTGGCCTAAGGGGCCGCTGCATAAAAATCCCAGGCTCAACCTAGCCTGACTCATCTCAGATAAGACTCTCTACAAAAAATCCTGCTCCCAAAGGCAGGGGTAAGGCCACTGGTGACTTCACATTTCTAACAGCATTGCCCTCCCCTGCTACAAAGCCTAGGGGGTGGGAATGGGGGAAACCAAGGATGGCTCCTGATAAGGGAGCCTTACCCCCTAATTGGCACAGTGAGAATAAACCCTCTCCCTTTCCCCCTCCCATGCCCCTCCCCCCATAGTCCCCATATGGGGCAGCTTTATCTTTATAATTTCCTCAACTCCGGTGTGTGACCAGACCCCACCCTAGCTCTAAAGCAGGGTCCCAAATTCCTGGGGAGGGCTCTGGGGTAAAGAGTGGATATGGACACCACGCCTGGCTCCACCTCTGAAGCAGGGACAAAGCTTCCAGCCATGACTCAGGGATCTGTGGGAAGAAGAAATGAAGGACAAGGTAAGAGGTTTATCTGGGGTGTGTTAACTTTTTACCATACAGATTCATACCAAGGAAAATAGAGACACTTCCCCCCACTCCACACACATACCTCTTCTGTGCTACCTTGCATGGGTGGGCACTGTTGAGGTATCTGGAGTTCTCATCAAAAAACTATGCTTCTCTAATATTACATCCTCCCTTGTCCAATTCCCCCAAGAGCTGTGGCTATACCTTGTTCTAAATCTTCCCCTTGCTCAGATCATGGAACTAGCAGGGCACCTAGAAGTGGACACAGGTTGTGTGATGCTACAGTTATTAGGGGGTGCTGTACCTGGCTCAAAGTTGAAGTCCAGTCCCTCGTCCCCATCCATGAGGTCACTGATGATGTTATCCATGTCACACTCCAGGTTCTCCATATACATATCGAGATCTAGATCCTGAGGCATTCTGTCTTGGCTTGCAGCTTCAGTAGGGGGTGTGAGCACAGGAGTCCCCAAGGCCTTGGGGATGGGAGCACCTGCCATGACTGGAGGTGGTGCTATCATAGAAAGGGTAGGAACCAGATTGCTGGGGCCCGGAGCCTCAAGGGACTTGGGACATAGGCCGACTCCTGTGGCCAGCTTACTGGAGGAAGGTATCCCCCCCAGCAACAGAAGTGTTGGCGCCTGGGACAGAATGGGATCTACCTGGGTCATGAGGACATCAGCAGGGGGTGGTGGTGTATCAGAGGTGAGCAGGGCCTCCAGAGACTGGGAGTTTGAGAAGCACCCTTCTCCTGTTGACAGGGGCCCCTCTGCTGGGCTGAAGAGGGAGGTGCTATAGGTGTGTAAGGGGCCAGTAGCCCCAGGATGCTGCAAGAGAAGCCAGAGAGACCGCTCCGAGATAGCAGGGAATGGGAAGATGTGAGATTGAGCCCGTCTAACAGCTCTAGATCTTCATTGAGGGTGGGAGGGACACCCCCTGCATAGCTGCTGACTGAGGCTGGTATTTCCTCTTCCGCCAGCACCTCAGACTCTGGCCTCATGGGGGACAGCCGGGTGCTGACAGTGCTAGCATTTGAACTGCTTCGTGGACGGAAGGTGGTCCACATATCGGCTTCCTCACGGTTTCGAGAGCAAGGGCTGCCTGACCACTTGGCAAAGTGGCCAACAGGGCTTGTTGGAGTGGCACCTTCAGGTGGAGCTGGCAGCCCAGGTGGTTTCTTCTTGGGGGCCTTACTGCGGCCCCGGAGCAGCTTGCTGCTGCTATCCATGGAGGCAGCCCGGCGGCGTGGTGCTTTGCCACTCTTGCCTCCCTCGGGGTTCAGCATCCACCAAGAGCTCTTGCCAGTAGCCTCATTGTGAACCTTGATGAACTTGCTGTGCAGGGACAGGTTGTGGCGGATGGAGTTCTGGAAGGGGCAGAGGCAGCAGGAAAGGGGCATGAAATATGTGCAGGAGAGGACAGCGACCAGCAGTCTAGTCCAAAAGGATGCTTGTCCCTGGTGGTCTAGTGGTTAGGATTAGGCATTCTCACCTCTGCTGTGGGGTTCCTCTCCTGGTCATTAGAGTTTCAGAAAAAAATTTAAAAATTTACAAAAAAAATATGGGCATGGTGGCTCACACCTGTAATCCCAGCATCTTGGGAGGCTGAGGTGGGAGGACTGCTTGAGCCCAAGAGTTATAGACTGGCCTAGGTGATATAGTGAGACCTCATCTCTACACACACAAAAAAATTAGCCAGGCATGGTGGTGTGCACCTGTAGTCCCAGCTACTTGGGAGGCTGAGGGCAGAAGGATTGCCTGAGTCCAGGAGGTTGAGGTTGTGGTGAGCCGTGATGATGCCCCTGCACTCCAGCTTGGGTGACAGAGTAAAACTCTGACTCAAAAAAAAAAAAAAATCCACAAAAAGAAAAAAAAAGGATGCTGGGACTCAGCAGGCGGATTCCTGGAGACACAAAGAAAGTCAAATCCAGGGAGAAAAACTGGCAGAGGTCAGGTTGGAGATGAGGAGGAGGAGACCACACACAGTTCCTACCCCAAGACAAGCTGCGTAGTCTCTGCTCCAGAATTATCTGCACAGGGGCACAGAGGACAATGTGCTAACAACCTACTGCAAAGGGAATAGCGGCACCTATCCTGGAAAAGCTCTCAGCACTGTGCTTCTCTCAGGTCTCAGTGTGTGTGGTGGGGGGGCGGTATCTGGAGCTAGTGGGCCTTGAGGAGACTCTTGGCGCAGTAAGAGCTAGGTTTAGGTGGGAATGAGCATTTCACCCCTTTCCTTGAGTGTAGGTTTGGGTGGGGTTTTCAGGACAGTGATGTAACACCAGCCTAGGATTGGACCCACCCTGCCTGGAGCCAGTTCTCTGAAAAGGCTAAGGGCTGGAATATCAGCACAGCAGGTGCTCCATTCTCCACAGAGCATTTAGGCCACCCAGCTCTCTATAGGATTTGAAAAATTCCTTTTTTTAACCCCCTGTCTGAATCCCAGTCTTATTTCTTCCAATCCAGGACAGACACCTCAATTACATTCAGTCCAGGCTTCTCACTGCATCTTAAATACATACAGAGCAACCCTCCTCCCCCCATTTTCCCTTTCTTTTCTTTTCTTTTTTGAGTCAGAGTCTCACTCTGTCGCCCAGGCTCGAGTGCGGTGGCATGCGCATGGCCACTGTGGCCTCAACCTGCTGGGCTCAGGCAATCCTTCCGCCTCAGCCTTCCAAGTAGTTAGAACTACAGGCACGTGCCACCATGCCCGGCTAATTTTTTGATTATTGTAGAGATGAGGTCTCGAACCCATGGGCTCAGGCAAGCCTCTCACCTCGACCTCCCAAAGTGCTGGGATTATAGGTGTGAGTCACCGCGCCTGGCCCTCCCCCCACTTTTCCTAGGAAGGATCTCTCTAAATTCTACTTGTTCCACCAAGATCAAGATTAAATTCTTCCTCTTTTACAAAGTGGTTGCTTGACTTTGGCAGCCAAATTTCTTGTACAGTATTTTTAATCTGTTCCACACAATTTTACCTAATCTATATTGTGTGGTTTTTGGTTTCATGTAATTTGTCTCATCAAGTGTAAGTGCCAAGTG